GATGACTATGTGCCTTTGCTTATCGACGGATTCGACAATGATAAAGTACAGTGGCACTTGAACTATGAGAAAGTAAGAAGTATGGTAGGTGATGTGATTGATGAGATTCAAGAACAATACGAGGAACATCCTGAAGAAGTGTCTGTTGTATATACGGATAATGGAGAAGGAGAGATGCACCAGCAAGATCAGGTGAGTTGTTTGATGTAGTTCTCCTTGATCTAACTGAAATTCTGATTTTAAAGGAGAATGAAAATGTGGTCGTAGACGGAGTGGAATATGCTTATGAGGTGGAGACTGGCGAAAACATTGAAGTTATATCGGATCTTAATATTGAACGCCCAGGCTCACCCCATGTTTTAGTTGATGATATCCCTACTGCTGATAGGGAGGAAATTGTTGTTACTGATGATATGAATTGAACATCTTAGCTTTAGTTGTTGCTTGAAATAAGTGTGACTTTCCTACTGTATCATAAATAGAATTTTTTATGTATGCTCTGAAAAACATGTTGTTGACCTTAAGATTTGTTGCGATTGTTTGTTGTCTGATGTGCTATAAATTATGGAAACTATTATGTTCATTTATTTCGCACTAGACGTCATTGACGTTCAGTATTTTTTGTATTTGAGTTTAACCATCATCAGATATTCCTTCTAATTTATCTCACTAACAGTCGAGATAAAATTGACATTTGAAAACTTACCTTGCTATGTTCCTCAAATTGATTGAATCGTCTTGATGAACTCTTTCCTTTTTTGCTGAGGCATTTGAGTGCAAGTTCTTGTTTTCTGTGTAATTTGGGTATCTCAAGTCATATGAGCGCTTGCAGTTTTTCATCAAAAGGTGTAAATATTGTTTTGATGCAGCCATTGAGTGCGCTTGGTCACTCTTAGTTCAACTCAAGAATCTTTATGCTTGCCTCTATCTAGCAAGCATTTTTTTTTCTAAATTTATGAACTCTTCATGGTTACCTCATGTGGCTTCGTAAAGTCTTAGAACATGCATGCAGACATCGTTCACTGAACGACGATGTTGCAACAGCCTGGCTTTCTCTGGCATTCAAACCTTTCGTTCCAGATGTTGGAAACAACAGAAATATTTTAACGAAAAAAAGCTTAAATTTTTTTGAGTTTTGCATCAGAAGTACGTAATATTTGTACATAATACCACTTTATCGCACAATAATAT